GCTGGATGTAGAGGGCTGAGATGGGGCAGCAGGAGAAGGAGTTGCAGTGGGGGCAGAAGCAGCATTGGGGGCAGAAGCAGCAGATGTTGAATCTTGGACCCTGCAAAGGATAAAAAGTATTAAACTCCTGGTAGCGGGGAAGGGCGAGGGGGGTCCCCCCCCACGATCACTGGGCTCCCGGCACACCAGTCATCCCCACAGCAGCCAGCCCCAGCTTCTATCCCATCTCTGCCTGCACTGATGCACTGCTGTGCTCCCAGATGCTTTCCATCTGCTACGATCTGCCTCCCATCCTGATGCACTGCAGCCTCTGACATGTCGTCCTGGCCCACGCACAGCAGCAGCTGGACAGGTCTTACCCTAAATTGTATCCAACTCTTCCTTGAATCCCACTGAACTATTTACTGCAGCCATATCCTTGAGCAATGACTGTGCTCCAAACAGGAAAATCCTTCTGCTGCTCCCACAGAAACCACAGGAGGTTACAGCAGGGCTAGTGCACGGGGTAAACAACAATGTTCACTTCTGAATATTCCTATCAAAGCTTCTGAGGCAAAAAGAAGCATCAGCATTACTACACAAAGAGGGAAACTGAGGCACGAGGCAGCCAGCACCTGTCTCATAAAGCCATGGAATATTTCTGGCCAGCTTGGCTCCAAATTCCCAGCTCTGCCACTGGCTGCACCTTGATGCAAGGCTCCTGCTCCAACATAAGTTGTCTGGAGCTTCTTGTAACACACCCACACAGACACTGTGTTGTAAGCCACCACGCAGCAGGTGCTGGACATCAGCTTTGCTGAATACACCAATCCAGGTTAGTACCTTCTTACCACAGTTACTCCTCAAGAGTGTTACAGGAGTTTGAAAGAACATTTAAAGATTTTCTAAAGCCTCTGCAGTCACAACAGTGAGTCCTGGACTAGTGTTGAAGAGCTTTCATTAAATTAGACCAGAAAATTCACTTTACTCACCTTAATAATGCTATTATACCTCTGACAACAAGAACAATTATTTCCTGTTTTTTTTTCCTCAGACCAAGAATTATTCCTTTTCTCTATCTCTCTTTCCTTTTTCACTCTTCTAGAACTTGAAAAATCAACCCTGAAGGTCCCTGTCCGCTGTCCAGACTAACCTGACTGCTGCTGAAAACCAGTGGCCACTGAGAGAGGCAAAGAGAAAGGAAACAAAGCAAATGGGAAGTTGAACAAGAAAGGAAGAAGGAAGCTAGAAAAAGGGCACTTGGTTTCTCTCAGCCTCTTCTCACAGGAAGAGACTGTAATGTCTTCAGTAAGTACTTATCTAGGACTATTAGCAGGAGAAAAATGAGCAGCCTAGGACAGCTCTGATTCACCCTTTGAAATGGTTCACCAATACCACATTTATAGTGAAGACAGCAGAAACATCCGCAGGCTCTCAGGCTATCTCTCAGCCAAGGAGAGGCTGCAGAACCTGACAGTACACTTCCTTGTGTTTGTGAAAAAATAGATGGAAAAAAAAAAAGAAGGGAGAAAACCCTATCTTGATTAATGCAGCTCTCCCAGGGGACAGTAGAACTGCACAGAGACATAGCCCTGGAGCTCCTCAGGAGCTGGAGCACACTGCAGCCAGAGTCCGAGGCACAGCTGTGAAGGGCCTTTCAAAATCAATGAAATGTGGCTGCAACTAAAGCGCAGCAGCTGTTCCCAAAATCCTTCCACGCCCAGCACCCCTCTGGAAAGCGCTGGGAAGAGCTAAACCCGCAGGACCCTGAGGTCAGCCCTGTGTCCCATTCTCAGTCTGAGCTCTGTGGTGCACAGGAGCCACATCCCCACTGGGAACTGGCCCGGGTGCACCCACAGCACCACATAAGCACCCCCACAGTGTCCCGTGTCCGTGGTTGCACAGCCCAACTGGAGCATCCCCTGTCTGCACTGGCCTGTGCAGCTGTGCCTCCAGGGGCCACACAGGTGCCCCACAGGGCTCACATGCCACGTGCCTCCTGTGGCACCTCAGAGAGCCTGAGCACAGGCTCAGAGCTGGCTATGTAGCAGGAGGAGACAGAAAACCCAGGTATTGGCTTCTACAGCAACACTAATTCTCTGGGAAAGAAATTTCTTTTATCAGTAACTTTTTCTAGAACTTTTGCTGGTTTGCTAGAACCAGTGTCCATTTCTGATGGGTTCTTCCAAGACACACAGGAGAAATGTTAAAGGACAAGCCCCACCAGGCTGCCATACACCACCACAGCTGTGTCATCCATGGACAAGTCAGTGACAAACCCCATTGCTGTGTGGTACAGCTGGGGCAGGGAAAGCTCACCAGGATCACCACAATCAGTTATTCCCAGCCCCCATTTAACTCCCAAGACCCTTACTTCTGTGGAGTCTTAATGACCAAGTGAACAGTGAGCCCATCTTTGATCCCATGTTGATTCAACGTGTCTCCATCCTTCAGGATCTTCCCAGCGAAGATCAGAACCAGCTGATCTTGTTTGGCTTTAAACCGTCTAGAAATCTCTTCTTTGAACTGAAAAACAAACAGAGCATTTTTCAGGCAAAGGATTTGTACCAGTAAAATAAAGCTCCAGGGATCACATCCACTCTGGGAACAGCACAAGGAACTGACAAGCCCTCAGAGCCCATGAAGGTACCACACAGTCACCAGTTGCTGATGATGTCTGAGGTGTTAATGAAAACCAAAACAAAGCAAAGACAAGCTCTGAAATCACAAACTATGGAGTAAATCTCAGAAAAAACAGAGCCATTCCCTCAGAATAGCTGAAGGCTTCCAAAGCCAGACCAATTGTGCTTCAGGCCTTACCTAAACACACCATTTATCCTGAATGACTGAACTGGTTTCGTCTGCTCATTTGAGTTTTTTTTTTTTCCTAAGGAAAGCCAAACTCTGATTTAATACAGGACAGAGCTCTATGGAAAAGGGAATAATCCTTTATCAGCCAATGGAAATAAACTAGGTCTTCTCCAATTCCTATTTCTGCAACTGAATTCCCTGTGAGCATGCCACAGAGCATGGGCACCTCTTCCTTACTGTGTGCTGTGCTGGGATTTACACCTGCAAGCAAGACTCTCACTGCTGGCCCTGCTGGAGCATTCCCAGATTGATTAGGAGGAAATAAAGCCTTTTACTTGGAAAACACAAACTATAAGGAATTCAGAGGAGAAAGCCAGGATGGAGAGTGAAACATATACAGGTTCCAGAGCTCTCAGCCTTTGCACCAGAACTCTAAAAAGCAGGCTGGGCATGGCATAGCCCTGGCCCCAGGTCACCGTCTGTATCTCTCCCCACACAGCTCCATGCCCTCCCTGCACAAAGCCCTTACTGCACACTCCCCGTACCCATGGGGTCCCCGCACAGGAGGGCCACACATGCACAGCCTCTGCCTACGCCATGAACTGCTGCCCAGAGATCCCTGCCAAGCCCTTCACACGCCGACCTCATGCCCTGTGTCCGACCGAAGCGTGCAGCCAGCCCAGCGCAGAGCCCATGACACCTTGTCCCAGTGGGCATCGCCACTTCCTCGATGCCAGGGCCAGCCCTAGAGCCAGCCCCTGCCAATCCCAGCCTTTGCTAGCCCCAGCTCTTGCCAATCCCAGCCCTCTCCCGCTCCCTAGCAGGTGCCGAGTTCCCCTCAGCCCACCCGTGGGAGAACCGATGTTTCCTTTCCTCCACTTCATCCAAACAGCTGCCCGGCTCCTCTCCCCTCGCCCGGGGAATCTGCCTCCAGAGAAGTCCAGAGCTACGCCAGGACCCCCAGATGCCCCCCCGGCAGCCCCCCACACACCCATGCGGCTCTGCCCACAATCCGAATACCCTTCCCACGCCTCCGCTCAGGGAACACTCTCCCACGCAACCCAGCCCACGGGCCAAGCCCCCAGACCCCACCCCGGTCCTTCGCACCCCTCCCACTGCCACCGCCCCCAAAACCGCTCTCCGAGTCCCTCAACTATTGTGGTTTCGACACCTACGACCCCTCCCACAGGTGAGCCCCCCAGACCACCTCCCGCCCTCCGGACTGTTTCCACTCGAAAACCCTCCAGCACCTGCCCTCCTTCAGATTTCCCCGCTCCCTCCTACCCTGGTTCCAGCCAGGCCCAAAGGCCCGGCGTGCCCCGAAAGGCCCGGCTTGCCAGCTCCAGCCCTGATCCGGGTCTCCAAGAGGCCCCCGGACCCTCTGACCGCCCTCAGCCCAGAGCCCCCTTCCCCCGCTCCTCACGCCCGCCCGAAATCCCTCCCCGGCCCCAAACTCAGGTCTCTTCCCAAAAACCCTTCACCCCATTCCTCGATCCCTCACCCCTCTTCCCCCCAGATCAGCCGCCCTCCCCTCTCAACACCCGCGACAGCCCCCCCCAGGCCTCTCCGCCCCCCCGGCCTACCCCCGCCCCCACCTCGCGCACAGAGGCGCCGTCCGCGATGACGATCTCCTCCTTGTCCTTGGGGGTCTTCACGGTGACGCGGATGAGCGCCCCGCCGGGCCCTGCCTGGCCGTCCCCGCCAGGCCCGGGGCCGGGGCCGCTGCCGCCGCCGCCGCCGCCACTCGGCTCCGCCATCTTCGCCGCCCGCCGCCAGCCCGGGCCGCTGCCACCACAGAGAGCCGGGAGCGGCGCCACAGCACGTCCTCAGCCTGCGACAGCGCCCCCTGGCGGCCCGGAGGGACAGCGGCAGCGCGGGGGCTCACAGGGGCGGGGGAGGCAGAACGGGAGCGGAAAGAGCGGCACAGAGCCTGGGTAGGGCAGAGCGGGCTGGGGATGGTGCCCGCAGGGCCCCACCGCTGCCCCCAACGGCCTCCCTTTAACCAGTCCCATCCCCGCCATCACCCAGGGCCCACGCCTGCCCCGTGCTCCCTTCTGCTGCCGAGGCCCCTCTGGGGTCCCGGCACCCACGGGGACAGGGACGGGGACAGGGACGGGGACAGGGCCCGGGCGGGACTACAGCTCCCGGCATGCTCCAGGCCCGGCGCGACCCCGTGACGGCCCCGCCCGGCCCGGCCCCACCCCCGCCCCGCGGTGCCGGCGGCGGCCATGCTGCGGCCCAAGGCCCTGACGCAGGTGCTCAGCCAGGCCAACACCGGCGGCGTCCAGAGCACGCTGTGAGTGCGAGGGGCCGGGCGGGGGGCGGCTTTCCCCGGGCGGGCACTGGGCGGTCCCTGATGCGGGGTGACGGCACTGCGGGGAGATGCTTCCCTGCCCGGGGATATTTCCCTTGTATCTACCCCGGCGGATACTGCCCCTGCCCTAGAGGATGCTGCCCCTGCTCGGAGATGCTGCTTACCATTCTCTTGCCCCTGCCCCTGCTCCTGCTCCTGCCCCAGCCCTTGTTCCTGCCCCAGACCCTGTCCTTGACCCTGCTCCTGCCCCAGCCCTTGCTCCTGCCCCAGACTCTGTCCCTGCTCCTGCCCATGTCCCTGCATCTGTCTCGGGCATGCTGCCCCCGTCCCTGTCCCAGGGATGCTGCCTGACCCTGTCCGTGCACCGGGGGATGCTCCTGCCCTGGCAATGCTGCTCCTCCCAAAGATGCTGTCTGCCTTTCCCCTGCCCCCAGCCCCTGCTCCTGTCCCTGGCTGGGGATTCTCCTTGCTCCTGTCTTGGCAATGCTGCACCTGCCCAAAGATGCTGTCTGCCTTTCCCCTGCCCCTTGTTCCTGCCCCTGCCCTGCCCAGGGATGCTCCCTGTCTCTGCCTGGGGAAGGTGAGGGGCCCTTCCAGGGGCAAGTGTGGGACTGCGGCCACACATCGTGCATGGTGCTGGGACATTGCACAGTGTGTGGGGCCAGGGCCTCGCAGCGTTCCTGATGTCTGATGCCTTGTGCACAGTGCAAGGACCATGCACAGAGCTGGGGCTGTGCACAGCGTTTGCCCCCCAGGCTCATGCCCAGTCTGTGTCAGGTCCCACTGCTTCAACAGACAGAGCCAGCACAGCCCTGCACTGCCCTGCTCGGGCCTGGGGCCACTGCAGAGCTTTCTGGCTTTGAGGCCCTCCCACCCCCTGCCAAACCCCTGCCGAGTGGGAGTATCTTGGGAGCAGTGCTTGGGACTGGGTGGGAGGGTTTGCTCTACCCCTGGCACTGACAGGGGGTCTGGTGGTAGAGGCATCAGTTTTCCCTACCGTGTCCTTCCCAGGCTGCTGAACAATGAGGGGTCCTTGCTTGCCTACTCGGGCTATGGGGACACTGATGCCAGGGTCACCGCAGCCATCGCCAGCAACATCTGGGTGGCCTATGACAAGAATGGGCACCAGGCATTCAATGAGGACAACCTCAAATTTATCCTCATGGACTGTATGGTATGTGGGACTGGGGCCTGCCCTGCCCTCCCTGGGGACCTGGCTGTGGTGCCAGGACCGTGCTGGGGGTTCAGGCCAAGCTGGGGTTCAACAGGTGCTGTTTCTCCCTGGGCAGGAGGGGCGAGTGGCCATCACACGGGTGGCAAACCTGCTGCTCTGCATGTATGCCAAGGAGACGGTCGGATTTGGGATGCTGAAAGCCAAGGTAATGCTGGTGGGGAGGTGGCTGGGGGTGTGCAGGGCTGCATTCCCTGCTTTGATGTGGGAAGGACCTGTTGAAGAGGATTGGGATGGAAGGGCTGAAGGAAGCTGCTGTGCCTGGGACACTCTTTGCACCTTGCAGAGACTCCTCTGTCCCCGTGCCTGCCCAGGCACTGCACCACACATTTTTAAGGTTCTAAACTGAAATATAAACTACAATAAGCAAGTGGGCAGTGGGCACACAGGTTGCAAAAACCACCTGAGCGTGGCTCATGCCATTCTCTGCTTGCAGGCACAGGCGCTGGTCCAGTACCTGGAGGAGCCACTCACACAGGTGGCCGCATCGTGAGCAGGCAGTGGAGGGCTCTGAGGTGCCACTGAACCCTGACACCATCACCATCACTGGCGTGGGGTGGGCGTGAGTGGCCCCATGGGCATCCCGGAGCTCTAGTGTGGTCTAAGGTGTCAGGAGTACAAAAGCTGCGGGGAATAAACGTGTGTTTGATGCTTGTGTCCATTGCTTCTGTTGTTGGGGGAGCTGAGGGGTAACACAGTCCGACTGGGCTGGAGGTGCCTGGGCAGTGTTTGGGAGGTGCCCATTGCCCTGGGGAAAGACAAGAAGTTGCAAGGGGCTGTTGTCAAAGGGGAGGGTTTCCAACAGAGCCGAGCCCCTGCACAGCCCAGCTGGTCACGCTGGGATAGCTGGGGGTGGTGGGGGCTCCTTCCCGTCCCAATTTCCCTGGCTTTCACACGATGGCAGCAGAGGCGAGGGAACATTCACAGCGGCGGCAGCCGGGCTGAGGGGAGGTTCTGCTCCTGGCACGGCTGCCCATGCTGCCATCGCACCCCACAGTGCCCTGCTCTGCCCATGCTGCCATCGCACCGCACCCTGCCCTGCTCTGCCATCGCTGCCCTCGGTGCCATCGCACCCGTCCCGTCCCCACGCTGTTCGCACTGCCCTCCCCGCCCGTGCCATCGTCACTGCGCACGCTGCCCGTGTCACCCTCGCTGTCCTGTGCGCGCTGCCCCACCTGCCCACGCTGCCCTCGCACCCCTCCCCGCCCACGTTGCCCATACTGTTCTTGCTGTTCTCGCTGCCCTAGCCTGCCCTGCATTCAGGATCGGGCCCTGGCTCCTCCTCCAGCCACCCCGTGACGGTCCCAGGGGTGACACTACCTGCCCAACCTGCGCTGCGACACCCAGTCCCACCCCTTGAGTCAACCGGCCGCGCTGTCGCCAGCTCGGCCTCTGTCGCCGCCGCTGTCCCAGACCCTCGGCGCTCCCCTGGACCCCCTTCTGTGCCGCTCGCTCCCCGACACAGAGGAACCTTTGGTCGTTCCGTCTCCTCCCTCGGCGCCTCCGGGAGCCCGGCCCGCCCCGCCGTCTGCTCCAGGCTTGGCAGCGGGAAGGAGGAAACCAGGGCGGCCCTGCGAGGGCAGGCGGCAGCCGGGGCGACATGGGCAGCGCCGAGGAGGACTATAACTTTGTCTTCAAGGGTGAGTCCTGCGCTGGATGCGACTCACCGCTTCCACAGAAGGGATGGAGCAGAAAGCCAGGAGCTGCCGGGAGGGAAGTAGGGTGCCCTTTCCCCAGAGCGGCTGTGTCCCGAGCTGGGACGCTGTTGACTGTCCCTGCAGCTGTGATGGGCACCGGGAGCTACGGAGGGGCAGGGGACTGGGGAGCACCCAGTCGGAGTGGGGAGGCACCGAGCACTGACAGCAGTGAGGCCAGGGCTGGTGGGCAGTTCCAGGGTCCACAGACACCCGGGGAGATCCACTCTCACCCCAAAACTGCAAGTGTGCAGTGCCAGGCAAATTGCTGTTGCGGGATGGGAGGGAATGTGAAAGCTGGGACTGAGTGTGTGAGACATAAATGCCACGAGAGCCTGTAGTCCCCGAGAGCAGTGGGCATTGAAAAGTCATTTGCTGCGGTCACCTGGGCAGTGGCACATGCAGAGGACATTGGGGTCAGACCTGAGCTGGAGAAATGGGGGCACAGCCTCACACCTCCCATGCTGACCTCCTCGGGCCCAGCTGGTCTCTGCCAGGTACTATTGGCTGGACTCTGCTGGAGCTCAGTGCTCCCTTTGGCCAAATGGAGACAGACAGGCTCTGTCCTGGGTGCCCACTGCAGCAGGGTGACCCAGAGCTCACCAACATCCTTACCCTGCTCCTGCTGCCCAGAGCCCTCTGAACAGCTCTGGGGCCACACCAGCACTAGGGAGCACAGCTGGGCTCCTACGGGGACCCCTGTTTGCTGAGGAGCAACCACATCAGGGGTTAAACCCACACAGCTGCCCAGCCTCTGCCACCTGTCTGGGGACATCAGACAGCAAGCGATGCCCATGCAACCAGTGCTGGTAGCTGGGGCAGTCAGGTGGGATTTCTCCTTCCTTCCACAGTCGTCCTGATCGGGGAGTCTGGGGTGGGAAAAACAAACCTGCTGTCTCGTTTTACCCGCAACGAGTTCAACCATGACAGCCGCACCACCATCGGCGTGGAGTTCTCCACACGCACGATCCTGGTGGGAGACGCCGTGGTGAAGGCTCAGATCTGGGACACGGCTGGCCTGGAGCGGTACCGCGCCATCACCTCCGCGTAAGGATGGGAGGCCTGAAATCCGTGCTTCTCCTGGCACTTGGGTTCGGCCCCCTGGGTGAGGATGCTAGAGAGGGGGATCAGGAGCATGGAATGATGATAGGGTTCTGTCACAGGTATTACCGGGGGGCTGTGGGTGCCCTGGTTGTGTTTGATATCACCAAGCACCAGACATACGATGTGGTGGACCGCTGGCTGAAGGAGCTGTACGACCATGCTGAGGCCAGCATCGTTGTCATGCTGGTGGGGAACAAGACCGACCTCGCACAGACTCGAGAGGTGCCCATGGAGGAGGCGAAAATGTTTGCAGGTACAGGCTGGCACCCCGTCACAGGGCTGGGGGCTTGAGAACCTCCCCAACAGCGTGGACCTGTGCCAGTGCAGGCACCTGAACATCTCTAAAGGTGCTCCAGACTGGAGCCGTGTCCTCACTGAGGTCTGCATCATCTCAAGGGGTTCCTCTCCTTGCAGACAACAACGGGCTGCTGTTTGTCGAGACCTCGGCGCTGGACTCCACCAATGTTGAGGAAGCGTTCGAGACCATCCTGAAGGGTACAGGCACTGGTGCTGTGGAGCAGTAGAGTCCCAGGGCATTGCGGGGTCCCTTTCCCAGGGATGCAGAGCTGGGCAGATGATGTGCAGCACTTCTCTCTCTGCTCCACTCGAGCTATTTGGGGCAAGTTTCATGAGCTCTTTTGATATGGTCTTTCTGGCTGCTTTGGTTTCCAGCCTTTGGTGCTGGGCGTTTCACTCCCCACACCTGAAGCTTTGTTCTCACGGCCACTGGGCATCCCTGAAGCCCCAGGGGCTGCTTCTCCCCCATAATCTCCAGTCTCCTTCCTGTTGTCCTGGGCTCATGACTTGGTGTCTCCAGCATCCTGCCAAACCGGCTGTGGGGACCTGGGGGGCCAGGGATGGAGTCCAAGAGCAGCTCTCCAGGAATGGCAGCCAGCAGCATCCGGGCAGTGAGGTGTGCCATGCCATGCCGAGCCATGCCAAGCCGTGTGGTGCTGTTCCATGCCATGCTGAGCCATGCCAAGCCGTGTGGTGCTGTTCTATGCCATGCTGAGCCATGCCAAGCCATGCAGTGCTATTCCATGCCATGCTGAGCCATGCCAAGCCATGCAGTGCTATTCCATGCCATGCTGAGCCATGCCATGCCGTGTGGTGCTATTCCATGCCATGCTATGCCATGCCAAGCCATGCAGAGCTATTCCATGCCATGCTGAGCCATTCAGTGCTGTACTGAACCAGCCTGACCCAGTGAGCTGCCAGCCTCAGCACAGGGTGAAGCACTAATCCCAGGTTGGGCAAGAGGAAATTGCCCAAGCACAGGGTGTTCACCAAGTGCTGCAGGGATGAACCTGTGGGAGCTGCTCCCTTCTCATCCCTCGAGTCATCCATCTGCTGCATAGAGGGGAAGAGAGCCACCAGCGTGCCAAACTGTGGGCAAGCAGTGGGGGCTGCAGGATTGAAACTGTCTCTGCATCCCCTGGCACTTCTTCTTTTGCAGAAATCTTCTACAAAGTGCAGAAGCAGAAGCAGAGGAGCAGCCAAAGCAACACAGTGTCACTTGGCAGCGAGAACCCTGCAAGCACAGCCCCAGAGCAGGCGGAGAGGCGCCCGTGCTGCGTGGCCCTCTGAGCCCCCTGGGCACCCCAGGAAATCCCCAGGGAACCCCACAGCCCCAGGACACACCAGTGGCCACCAGCACAGGCTGGTGTCACCCTGCCTGCACTGCCACCCCTGTCCTGGTGCAGTGGGGACCAGCAGCCTGGACAGGGGTCAAATTCTGCCATAAACAGTGAAAAGCACCATTTCCAGGAGCTCTTCTCTGTTTCATTTTTGCTGGGCCCTGATTAGCATCACCACTGCCACACACCATATCAGCCCTCCTGGGCCTGCAGGGCAAAAGGACCAGGATGCCCCGAGGCACCTCTGGGGAAGAAGCCGGGAGGTTCTGGGCAGGATCATGCCAGCAACAGGAGCCTCTCTGAGTACCTCTGGCCTTGGGGTTGTTTCTGTAGGGCCACCCTGTGCCATGCACTGAGGATGTGGCTGACCAACAGGTGTCTGTGCCACCAGGGACTGCTCTGGAGTTGAGCCAAGCCCTAGAGTGTGAAGTGGCAGCCCCTGGCTGTCTGTTCCTTAGACATCTGTCCCATCCCTAGACATGGGGAACAGCAGGACCAAGCAAAGGTGCCTGTGTCTGCATGGGGCAGGGCTCAGAGCAGGGCCCAGTGCCATGGGGCCGGGAGCAGCTCTGTGTCCAGCACGGGCGTGACGCCATCATTAAAGGACTTGTGAAATGCAGGTTTACTGAGCTGGAATTCCTGCGTGTTTGTGGTCGACGCCCTGGGTCCCCACCTTCATAATGTGCTGAAGATGATGGCCTCCAAAGCAGCCCAGCGGGATGCCACGGCTCCCCTGCACTCCCTCCTACCCTGAAGCTGGGCTCATCCTGCATCCCCTCCCACCCTAAAGCCACGCTCCCCGTGCTCTCCCTGTGCCCCCTCCCCGTGCAGCCTTTCCCAGTTGAAGTCCCCTGTTTGAACTTTATCAGTTCAAACGATGACGCAGCCTCTGCCGGTTATCTGATACCCCTCGGAAACGGGATAATTCCCGCTGGATTCTCCATGTCTTCCCTCGCTTTCCCTTTGCACCAAGCCAGACGTGCCAGCCCAGCTCCAGGTCACACCCACGGTTCTGCGTGGAGCGCGTGGCTGTCACTGTTCCCTTCAGGGGCACACACGAGTGGTGCCCTGTCCCTGCCCCCCTTACCTGGCGTAGGTGAGCACACCTGAGCGCTGACGGGCAGCCCCGGCCGCCAATGGGTGTGGAGCAGGAAAGGCTGTGGCCACCAATGGGTGGCGGGGGACAGCCCCTGCCAGGGCTGGATAAGGCCCGGAAATCCCAGTTGGCCCAGTGAGAGTGGGGCTGTGGTGCTGGGCGAGATGCGGGGCAAGGACGATGAGTACGATTATCTCTTCAAAGGTGGGTGTGCTGCCCGGCCACGCCTGCTCCACGCAGCCCCCTCGGCGTGGCACTGGGAGCTGGGGCTTGGACTGGGATGTAACACTCAGCTCCCAGTTCTCGGGACGGGGTGGGGGGGTTTATGGTGGTGTTCCACTGTGCTGGGGAGGAGGGTGGATGCTGGTGAAGCTGGGGCTGAAGTGCTAAAGTGGTCGGAGAGTTGGCTAGCGCTAGGCTGGTGGTTTGTGGTCCCGATGCTCGTTACAGCAGCTCTTCCCTGCTGCGGGAGGAGGCTGCAGCTCGAGTCCTGGAGGGGTGGCTATGGCTATGGCAGGCTGCTGGTCCCGGGGGTGGGAGGGAACGATGGTCCGTGGGACTCTGAGCACCCGTGGGTGCTCCACTCTGCGGCACTGGGTGAGGGGAGCACATCTGGGAGCTGGAGAGAAATCCGTGCTGCTCCCCAGCTGCAGTGGAGGGAGAAGCTCCAGGCTTGTCCTTCCCAGTGCTGGTCATGCTCTGACCTCACTGCTGTGCACGGGGGCTGGGGGACAGGGACAGCCTCTTGGAGACACAGCGTTGGAGTTTCTGCCAGTGGGAGCCCAGCATCCCCATCCCTGTGCATGCCAGGCTTTCCTGCCGTCTGCTGTGGCCAAAGCAGGTGCTGGGGAAGCAAAGGGACATCTTGGCAATGCCACAGGCTCCTGAGCTATAAAATCCAGGGTGTGAGCTCACCGGTGGATGGCTGTGAGTCAGCCTACCCACACAGGCCTGCCCGCAAGGCCCCGAGTAATTCTAGCCACCGACACGACGTAATTCCAGCCAGCAATGTGCTGGTAGCCCCTGGCTCCCTGCACACCTCCCCTGGCCACTGCCCAGGAAAATCCTCCTCCCTGGAGTTAGTCTGGCACCTGGTATGGAGGAAACTCTGATGCTAAGTGGTGCCTCAAGTATGATCCAGGCAGGAGCTCTCCCAGCTACTCCGTTCTGTGCTTCCCACCCGGTGCTGTGTGACTCTGAGGGGGCTTCAGCACAGGGTCCTCCTGTCTGTCCATCCCTGGGCATCCTACAGGAGTCAGGGCTGGAGCAGCTCACAACAGGCTCTTCATTCCCCTCCTGGGCCTCACGGTGGTCTCTGGAGTTCTTAAAGAATAGGAGAACTCAGCTTTCAATGCAAGGGCAGCTCATCCCTTCCAAAGCCAAGTCAAAGGGGAATGCATTGTCCGGGGGCATGGAGCTGGGCTAGTGCTCCCAAGGTCCAACAGCTCTGTGAGCCCAGCCTCCTCCTTGAGAAAAGGGAGATTGTCACAGCTGGAAGCAGCATTATCCCGAGTTCCCCTGAAATGGGAGCCTCAGTTGTAAAGCACAATGCACATTCCAGCTGTGCAAGGCCCTGATACTGCTGGAGGGGCTCAGTGTGGCTGAGGAGCAGCTCTGGGCATGGCTGCTCCTGAGACCCTTCCTTGGGGCCCTGTGTGGAGCTCCCAGCTGTTCCCATCCCTGCAGTGAGACGTGGTGTGCTGAGGCTGTTTGGAGGCAGTGAGGACAGAATATGTCAAATGCTTTTGTGCCTGGAGTAGAGGGTGCTGCTCCAGCTCCTCAAGCCAGTCAAGCTCAGGGACATGGGGCTCATCATCCCCTGCACCACCCACCCTGCATCCCTGGTGTGGTCCAAAGCCTTCTGGAGCCTGCCATGGATGGGGAATGTGGCCGTTGAGATGGGGAAGCAGCAATTTCCTGTTGTTGGTAAAAAGCAGAGCTCAGATCAAAACGTAGAAGCTCAGAAAGTGGTAATGAACCTGCCTTGCCACTGGCCTGCATTTCCTGTCTTGTCCAGGCTGTTCTGGTCCTCTCAGACCTCCATGCAGTGGGCAGCAGCTGAGAAGCAGCCAGGCAAAAGAGGGGGGTTCTGCCACTCTGCTCCACTTTGGTGAGACCCCCCTGCAGAGCTGCCTCCAGCCTGGGAGCCCCCCAGCACAGGAAAGATGTGGAGCTCCTGGAAGAAGTCGAGGAGGCCACAGAGATGCTCCAAGGGCTGGAGCCAGGCTGAGAGAGCTGGGGATATTCAGCTTGTAGAAGAAAAGGCTCTGGGGAAACTTCAGAGCCCCTTCCAGTGCCTAAAGGGGCTTCAAGGGAGCTGAAGAGGGACTTTGGACAAAGCCCTGGAGTGCCAGGACAGGGGAAATGGCTTCCTGTTGCCAGAGGGCAGGGTTAGATGGGATATTGGGAAGGAATTCTTGGCGGTGAGGGTGGGGAGGCCCTGGCGCAGGGTGCCAGAGAAACTGTGGCTGCCCCTGGATCCCTGGCAGTGTCCAAGGCCAGGTTGGACAGGGCTTGGAGCAATCTGGGCTGGTGGAACAAGATGGGCTTTACAGTCCCATCTACCCAAACCGTTCTGTGATGCTGTGGAGGAGCTGCCCTTCCTTCATTCTCTGGCTGTCCTGACACAGTGATTGCCAGCTTCCCTCAGTGATCCTAGAGAGCTGCTCCACTTAGCAGGCTGATTGTTGGCTGCCCTACACTGAGGGTTTTGGGATGGGATGGCTGCGCTGTTGGAGGCTTTGCACCATGCAGGGGAGTCATGTCTATAAGCTGGAGCTGGTGGAAAGGGGTTATCCAGGACATGGGGCAGCATCCTTGCAGGATGGTGGCTGCTGAGCCTTGACTGGGTGTAGCTGTGCCTTGCTGAGGCTCCTGCAGTGTGTGGCATCCCAGTGGCCCCTTGCTGATGCTGCTGTTCCTGTGTCCTCACTGCCGTGGTCACTGGATAGTTCAGCCCTGTTCTTGTCCAACCCTGGTGGGGACACATGTCCCACAGGTGGGTGAAGTGTCTGAGTACACCTGGGGAATGAACGGGATCGGCAGTGAGGGAATTAAAAATAACTTTAAAAATAAAACCAAAAACCTGTTGAGTCATAAACTCAACAAACTTGACTGGGGAGGTGTGTGATAAAGCTCCTCAGAGCCTGTTTCACCAGGTTTTACAGGAACCAGCCAGATCTGGGACAGGCAGAAAATGCATTTAACCCACACCCAGGGACTTCCCAGCTCATGGGCTGGACCAGCAGCAGCAGAGGAGGATGCTTCCTTTCAAGGAGGACACACAGGGTTGGCAAGAGGAGCCCCAGTTCTGCCTGGCCTCTGGCCTGGCTCTCCCCACACAGGTCCTGACCCTGGTTTTCTGTCCCATTTTGGGACATCAGTGCATATGGTGCATCCCCAGGGACAGAAACTTCTGGCAACTTCCCAGTGAGGGCAGGGATTTTCTCAAGGAGTGTTTAAAGGCAGCAGTGATGCTGCTGGGAGGAGTGGAGGCAGCTGGTCCTGCTCTGCTTCACCCCTCACCTGTCAGCTTCTCGTGGATGAGATGGAGGTGGGGTCTGGATGGGCGGGCAGATGGGGAGATTCCCATCCCTGCCAGGCCGTGGGAAGGGTGGCATTGCTGGGTGGCTGGGGGAGCTGACACTGTCTTTGTGCCCCCCAGTTGTACTCATTGGGGACTCGGGGGTGGGGAAGAGCAACCTCCTCTCACGCTTCACCCGCAATGAGTTCAACCTGGAGAGCAAGAGCACCATCGGGGTGGAGTTTGCCACGAGGAGCATCCAGGTGGACAACAAGACAGTGAAGGCTCAGATCTGGGACACGGCCGGGCAGGAGCGGTACCGGGCCATCACCTCAGCGTGAGTTTCCTTGCTCCCAACCTGTGGCCCTTGCCTGGGGCTCTGCTGTGACCCTGTCCCCTCACTGTCCCCAGGTACTACCGGGGGGCAGTGGGAGCTCTGCTCGTCTATGACATCGCCAAGTACCTGACGTATGAGAATGCAGAGCGCTGGCTGAAGGAGCTGCAGGACCACGCTGATGCCAACATTGTCATCATGCTGGTGGGCAACAAGAGTGACCTGCGGCACCTGCGGGCTGTGCCCACCGATGAGGCCAGGAGCTTCGCAGGTATCTTCCCCCATCTGCTCCAGTGCCATCCCACCTGGCCAGAGTTCATGGCACCCACCTGAGTTCACACTGTTCTTGCAGAGAAGAACGGGCTGTCCTTCCTTGAGACATCTGCTCTGGACTCCACCAATGTGGAGACAGCTTTCCACAACATCCTCTCAGGTAAGGGGCAACCAGGCAAGGGAGGGACAGGAATAGAGATGGCTTTGGACAGCGTGTCCTATCAGGAGACAGCCCTGGGGGTCTGGCTGTACTGGGTGGGATCTGGGCTGGAATCCTGCTCCCCTGGATGGGGAGAGGTGGGCATTTGCACCCCTGGAGCTGTGAGTTTGTAGAGGGAGCAGATCCCCCAGTGAAGTACTTACCTAAAGAATTTTTTCACTTCTCCTCTCTCTGCTGGCAGAGATCTACCGCATCGTGTCCCAGAGGCAGATCACGGGCCAGCCAGAGTCCGAGTTTGGCCCCTCCAGCACCATCGAGCCCATCCGGGTGCTGCCCACGCAGCAGGAGGGCCGGCAGGCACCCTGCTGCCAGAACATCTGAGCCCTGGGGTGCCCCCACTTTGACCCCCCACCACCCAGCACTTGGTGGCATCATGTCTCACCCTCTACCTCTGCCCACCACAGCTCCCCGAGCAGGGCAGGCTGGTGGCTGCTTTTGTGTGCACCATCATCCTGCTCGTGTGCTGCTCCATGTGTTTATGAAGGACCAACAAAAACAGAGGGGGGAGCCAAAGGATCAGGGTGTCTCCCCTCTCTCCCCAAGGTTGGGAGCATGCCATCCCCTGTGTCCCTGCTCCCTTTAGCCCTGCAGGCACAGTCACTGGGTGACTGGGTGGCACTGAACAAGCCCAAACATGGAGAGTCCCTGTTTGGTGACGCCCTGTGTGCAGCCCTGTGGGATGGGTGTGGAGGGGGACACCACTGGGTGCATCCTTCTCCCGCCTGGTGAAACCCGCAGTGATGTGGCCAATTGTGCCCAGCCCTGTCCCTGCAGCACCGAGAGCTGGGAGTGCCTGTGGGTGCTGCTGGGGCCATCCGGGGTGGGGTGTGGGGGTGATGCTGCTCTTGTGTTGTGACCCCCACCCTGTGGCATGACCCCAGCAAAGGGAAAAGCTGTGACTCTTCCATGGAAAGAGATGGGAGCAGGGCCTGGGCGACCTTGTCCTTTGGGAAGCCCTGAGGAGGGGACAAGGGGGGAGCAGGGTTTTGGGGGGCTGAGGTGCTGAGGGTGGGCACATGGTCCCTCTGCACGTGTGGGGAGCCCCAGCACGGCTTGGCCCTTCCCTGCTCCAGTGTTTGGCCCCTGTGGCTGGTGGCTGCATGGCCCAGCCTGGGGGCACACCACCACTGCATGGAGTGTCTGCTGCATTGCTGGGATGACAGTGGCCTTGTCCCCTGCATGGGGGACAGCGGCCACCCCCAGGGTGGGCATCACCCAAGGTGCTGGGACAGACTGTGCTGAGCCCTGTGCTGCTGTCAGGGGTGATTGGCAGGTGTCAGTCAAGGGAAAGCCTGACCCAGAACTGGGAGTGTGGCCCCTGTCACAGTGTTGGTTTTGGGGGATCTCTTTCTCTCCACAGCTGCCCCCAGTCTCTGCATCTCATTTGGCTGTGCCAGTAGGATGTGGGCCAGGGCTCTCCCTTGGGACATGATTTATCACTGAAATAGAAATCGAGGCAAAATCCCCAAATAAAGCTGCTGTTGAAGCCTTTTCTCTCTCTGCCAGGTCTTTCCTTGAGGCAAGAGCAGTGCCAGCCCCACATGGGGCAGCTGGGAAGCATCCACAGGCAGTGAAGAGTGAGGAGGAGGAGGGCTGGGAGGAAGCTATGACTGTAGCCTGGGCAAGGGGGTGTCCTGCTGGGAGGCCAGAGGGGAGAGCTTGAAATTCAGGTGGGATCCTGCTGCTGGCACAGCGGATGCAGGGATGCACAGAAGTGACCACACCCTATGGGTGTCCCTTTTTATCCATCCCTGTGCAGCACCTTCACCTTGGCTCTGGCACTGTGTCCCTACACTGTGGCACTGCCCTCTCCAGAGGCAGCCTCATCCCTGAGCTGGCCAGACCCATCCTCTGTCATACCCTGGGTCTGACTACAGCTGGGGGCTGTCCCCAGGGGTGAATGGTGGCCACTGCCCCGCGGGCTGTGCTTTACCCCATGCCCACCTCAGCTGGCAAAGCCCTGGCAACACGCAGACCAGCTGGAGCTGCCAAGCACCATCTCCTCCCACACCATCTGCCCACACCAAAACACGGTGCCAAGAGGTGATGTCAGCCCCACGGGCTGGAGAGGTGGGTGTGAGGGGGATGGATGCTGCTCTGCAAAGGGACAGAGCTGAGCCAAGTGTCCCTTGGGCCTCACTGCCATTGGACACGCGGGACGGGGAGTTTGTTTAGACTCATGGAGACACTTTTGGGCTGGGTAACTCACTTTTGTTCCAGGCTTTCCAATTTTCGGATGTTTTCTGCTGGGATGAAGAAGTGGGAAGGGTGACATGTGGCACGGGGTAGTTCATGGACACGGGACCTGCTAGCAGCAGCACTGGGAGAAGCAGCTGCCCCAGGAGGCTCAGCATCTCACAAGTGCTTTAATGAACCCCAAGAGGTGCTGCCAAAACCATGGGACTGGTGGGCGATGCAGGAGGGGTGGCAGAGGGAGGTCCAGCCCCACTGCCCTGGAACTCAGCCCAGCAGGGCCTTGTTCCCAACCACTGCTCCTGGCCCCTCCTAAAGTGTGAACAGACAAAAACCAAGAGCAGATACCAAGTTTCTTAAGTAATAATACTTTAATAAAATTAAGTTCTTAATGTAATTTAGCACATTTAATACATTAACCCTTTCCCTTCTTTGTTTTCTACAAGTTGTGCAACATCATTATTTTAATTTTATTTTATTTTAATTTTTTTCCTTCTCCCATTATACTATATGCCTCAAAACTCAGACAACAAGCCTAACTCTACTTCTATGTTCGGTTATATCTCTCTCTCAGGCCTTTATTTTTGCCAGAGAGATGAAAATACCTGGATGGAACATGTGATCGGTTTCCAATAGTAACAATCCCGACTACAGGTTTCCTATGATGTTAAAAGAAAAGAGGGAAGAAAAAAAAAATAAAGCAAACACAAAATAACAGGGAATGGACTTTCAATGGAAGGGCCACACAGTCGGCACGGGTGACTCTGTGGCCAGCTGGCTCAGCACGAGGTGGGAGTACCGTGGAGCAGGACTGTGCAACAGTGCCCAGACCAAGGGAAAGCAGATACACAACAACTTGTACATTATCTGAAGCGAGGATGAGAGGAAGCCAAAGTGATGCTGTGCAAGCAAAGCCGTGAAGGGCAGGGCAGGGCTGTGCTGCCCCGGGTGAGTATCAGTGAGATCAGCTGCTGCAGGGACCCTGTGCCTTGGGCTTCCTTTTAGTCTCATGTGGGGAATCCCACTGAGCTGCTCTGCCAGAGTCCCAACAGCAGCAAGCTGGAGCCTGGATCTCTTTGATACCAGGGCAGAGCCAGAGGAAATCCTCTGCAACCCCACAGGCTCCCGACTTCTAAGTCGGATGCCTGGGGGCTGCTCTGGGCATCCCTGGGGATTTCCTTGGCTTGCCTGGGGCTGGGATCAGAGCTGGCTCTAGACCTGCCAGTCTGGGATCTGCCAGCCCTCGTGCCCATTGCCTTTCATGTTTGCTTAACACTGGTTGCTAACTCAGGAGTAAATCCCATACTGCAAAACAGGATCCAGCCTCCGGTCTTTTTTTTTTTTTTTCCTTTTTTTTATTATTATCTTGGACAGAATTCATAAAGAAAAAGGAAAAAAGAATGCTGATGTTTCACAGGTAAGCACAACAGCATGTGCCTGTGTCTTGTGTCCCAGCTCTTGGGAGCCAAGAGCAGATCTCAACAGCCACACCACACTGCTGCATCTCACCGCTCCTTTTCTCTGCAAGTTGTTTCAAAAGCATCATCATAAGCCCAGAAAGCACATCCTGCTGTCAGCAACCCGGTGCCACCATTGGAGGGGGACTTCATTTTCACACAGACAGTAGTGGAACTACTCCAGATTTTACATTAGTGTCACTTTACTGGGGGTGACTTTCAATTTGCTCCATTAGCAGCCCTGAAGCGATGCTGGAGCAGATCCAGCGGGGATGCTGCAGCCTGCCAGGGCTGCAGTGACTCCAGATTCCAGGGGAGTAACCCATTGGAACAGGGGAGTCACACAGGAGGGAGACAGGAGCTGCCCAGCCTCTGCTGTCTCCTGCTGGCACGGCACAGCCAGACCAAAGTCTGCCTAGCACAATTCCAGCCGAATTTTTCACTGGGTCAGCTGACAGCAGAACATGTCTTCAAGTTTCTACAGGATGTGAAAACACACACTAAAACACAGAGATTGCTCCCTAACATCCTAGAAAGGGTTTTGGAAGAACCAGCCCACTCTGGCTCTGCTGCCACCAAGGACACCTTGCTGGGGCTCGGCAGAGGTGGGATGGGACCCACTGTCTGCACACAAGTGACCATAAAGTGCATCCACTCTCCAGTCCAGGGCACCACTGTACAATGTCCATCTCTGACGCTTCTTCAAGTATCAAATAAAAAAAATGAGGTAAAACAAAACGGAAAGAGCAAACAGGCCGCCTCGCCACCCCGGCAGGGAAGGAGCAGGCGCTTGATTCCACCGAGCATGAACCCCCCCAGAGGTGCAGGAGCCATCGTGCCCTGCTTCCCGAAACGCCCCAGCGTGCCAGGAGGGTCCCGGGGAGGGATCTCAGATTCACAGTGCTATTTATACGCAGAAACCGAATGAGAACTGTCTTCATTCCTGTCCTGACCTATTGCATGGCTTTGCTGAGTGATGAATGCTGGTAAAGGCTGCCCCAGCCCCCCGGAGCAAGGGGCGGCCACCGCGCTTCTCCAAGGCAAGTGTGGATGCTCCCAAGCTGCAGGAGATCCAGGGGTTTGCTACGGCTGAGCCACAACACAGAGGAGAGGAGCAAAGGCTAAACCCAGAGGGAACCAACTTCCAAGGGTGTTTTCTTTGTGGCACTTGGCTTTGCTAATGACAGCGTTGCCTCTTGGATGTTCCTGAGTTCTCTCCTTTAAGCAGAGATTTTGGTGCAGTGAAAAGCATCACCAGTACTCCAGGGAGAAGTGCCGGCCTGTCTCTGGAATGAATGGAGCAGCTGGCAGGGGCATGGGCCAGGTCCTGCCCCAGTGCTGGTGCCAGGGCTGTGCTGCCCTGCCCTGCAGCGCTCAGAGCGGGTCTGCCATCGCAGCAGCCCCGGGGCTGCTCGCTCCAGGAGCCCTTGCTCCCACTTTTGGCACTGCAGGGGCTCAGGATCCATCCAGAGCACAACACACCGTGCTGGCTGAGAACAGCCTTCAGCCTCCTTTGTGCTCCTGCAGCCAAAAACCAGGCATGTGCCATGAGTGTCCCTGTCCTGTGAGCAGAACAGCGTCGGGGCAGCTGTTGGGAAGCAGAGCTCTGGGATCAGGGGTGTCATGGCCCATCGTGGCTGCAAGAAGGCCCTCTCAGGCCAGCAGGGACTGTTCCAAACATCTCACCCGCAGTTCCAATGCTCAAAACTGATGTTTAAAGGCCAAGCAAAGAAACACCCAACAAAGCAAATCTCCTGGAAGATGCCACGTGCTAAGCAAGTGAGCTCATCCCGAGGCGCACGGCGTCTCCCGGTGCAACCGGGGAGAGAGAGAACCAAGAAAAAGAAAGAAAACAAACAAAGAGGGAACAAACCAACCCTAATGCCCTGACACTGCCCAGTGCAAGGGCAGAGCCTCCGCCCAGCACCTCGCTGCCTTCGAGCTCTGTCTGTCACCTTACAGAGGGGAGATCACCCAATCTTCCTTTCCTTCTCCTTCCCACCTGGGATGGTTCCACCTGCCCATCCCGGCATCTTCCCACACCTTTGGTGCTTGGAGAAGTTCAAAAACCAAGAACAGCCCAAGGAAAGTAACAGCAACTTTGAACATTTTTCTGCAATTTTCTGCTCCAAGCCCAAGGCTGGAAGTCAGAATAAGGCAAAAATTAATGGCCTAAAACTTCCTTATTTTGTTCCATGACTAGCCAAATCTGTCTATTTTTATTTAAAAAGCAACATAAGCCCCCAAACGTATCTTTTTAAAAAAATACATATTATTAGACCCTTTTTTTTTTGTCTTTTTTTTCCCCCCTC